TTACCGTATTTAAACACTTGATGGCTACCATCTACTGAACTCCTGTAACCAATAAGCAAATGTTTGACAAGTTTTGTACGGATCAGTAAATGTTGTCTAATATAATCATCAGTTGTATGAGTAGATCCATTGGGCGATAGACAGACATCGGTCAGATGTGCCAACTGTCCCATAGCTTGGATCGATAACTCAGTGATGGACAGACTGTAACATTTGATATGCTGTAGTCGCGGAAGATTGAGATGAATATTACGAAAAAACTGGTCACTGATTACCCGATATTTGTATAGCCGAAGTGTCAAATGTGTCAAACGGAACAATTGTTTTAGCGAATCGCTGGTCAGTATTAAATGCTGATTGAATCGGTTATAACAATCCAGCGATAATCGTCTCAATTCGGGCGACAATTGTTCATTGATGGACAAAATTATCTGATTTAAGTCAGTCGGCGATCGTTTACATGTATAGCTAAACTCTGTCAGCTGACGACACCGGCGGCCAATTGTTTTGAACAATTCAACGATCTCATTGGTACCGAAATCACCCGGCAATCTAATGGCCAATCGTTTCAATTGTTGCATTTGCGATAAACCCGATATCATTGTCTTGAAGTTGTAGTCATTTTCAAGTTTATTCGCCAACAGATTCATTGATCGCATTTGTTGGCCATAATTGGCCATAAATTTTGTAAATAATTTCATTGAATTGTTATCCAGTTTTAAGGTAAATGATTGGACAGTTTTCGGCAATGAATTGGACTTATTGTCGCCAATTATAACATTCAAATCAAGATTTTCTTCCCGTATATTGATGTCCAATGTCTTTAAATTTGTAAAACTAGCCAAACATTTATGAAACAATTGATGGCTACCATTGATACGTTTGCCGTTAATCGTCAATGACTGTAATTGTTGACCAAATCGTCGCCGAAATAAATCAAATGCTTGACCATAACTATTATCTAAGATATCATTTCTATGATTCAGACTAATTGATGTCAATCGGTAACAGTATTTCCGATTATTTAGTAGATTAAAGTAATCGCCAGTAAATTCATAACCATTTATACTGATTGTTATAATAGTTGGACATAATTTCAAAATCAATTCAAACAAATTCAATGTTTGTTTTCGATTATCAATGGACTTATAGTTATCGCCAAACAATTTCATCAATAGTTTCCTATCAAATATGAGATCAGTTTCCGTATTGAATATCAATGCCGACCACTGTTTGGATACCGATCGCAGTCTTAAGCGGTCATCGATTGGCAGATAAGTTAGCAATAGTTGACACAAATCATCGCCGAAACGATCGAACGAATCCTTCGGTCTTATTATTGCTGTTGTTGTGGTCATTGTCTTCAGTTATCTAACTTTTTATGTCTTTAAATAGTTTTTTTTTTTTTGATTTTTTATTTCGATATTTATTTAATAATTTATTTTTCAATGAATTAAAAACTATCAGAAATAAATTGTTTATTATTATTATTATTATTATATAAAAATTTAAATCAAATTTTAATTACAATCAATACTTACATTAATTTATTTATAATTATTTTTTTGAAAACTGAAAATTATATTTAAGTTTACAATCACTGATCTATCAATACATTAATACAAATATTTATTTAAAACATTATAATAAACAATCAATTAATTAATTTCAAACTATATTTAAAAGTTATACAAAGTTATTGATTGATTTTAACTTTAATTAACTAATAATTAACTAAATAATAATTAATTAATAAATATATCAATACAACCAACAAAAACAACAATAAAAATCAAACAAACATTTCAATTATATTTACAGTTTAAAAGTTTTTATATACAGTATTAATATGTTTTTATATGTTTAATACCTAATAGATGTGTGGCTTATAATTTAACATAACTACAGTATTATAGATAGAGATACCCATTAACTATAGTTTATTTGTATAATATATATATATATATTAATATATATATATTAATATATATATATTAATATATATATATTTAAATATATTTAAATATCTATAATTCATCTATAATTTTATAATTCCTATATTATCGGTGACAACAAAATTAATTAAAATTTCAGGTAATTATTATTTAAGACTATTTTTTTAGATATTACACTAATATAATAACTGTATATATTAATTATTGATAATTTAGTTAATTATCATATTATTATTTTTTATTTTAGTTAATTAGTCAATTAGTAAGTTTTATTAATTAATATTATTAAAAAAAAATAATTCATTTGTAATATATTTTTTGTGTTTTGAATATAAAAAATAAATAATAGATATATTTTTTTTGTTATAAAATTTAATTTGAAATAATAGTAATAATATTAATTAATTAAATTTATTATTAAAGGTTTATAAGGGTTTAATTATTTTGTATTTAAAGTTAAAATATTAATTAATCAATAATTTTATTGACGTATTAATGTATGTAATGTAAATATATCTAATTATTTATATTATATATATAATATTAACTATTATTTGATTATACAGATGATATAGAAATCATATTATTGTTTTTTTATTAATTAATTAATTTTTAATTTATATTTGAAAAATATTTGTATAAGGCGTTGTTCACATATTACGTTCGCAGTTTTTAAAAAATCTAGACCCCCTCCCCCCCTATGTTCGCAATTGTTCGCATGTAATGATATTTAAAAATTACGTTCGCATGTCCTTAACCCCCCCACCATTTAAATAAATATTTTATAAAATTATTTTAACTTTTAAAATAATCAAATAATAAAATAAATTAATATTATTCAAAAGTCATATATTTATTCAAAATTAGTTATTAAACCGTTTATCAAAGGATTAAGTTTACTCAAAATTAATCCCTTAAATTCATTCATTATTTAAATGCGAACGTTCTTATAGACTTTACCCCCCTCCCCCCTCGTTCGCAAATGTTCGCTTTATAATCAGGGTTTTAAGGAAATAAATTAGTGTCATAGCAATGCCCAAAATAGATGCCATAAATGCCTGGCATTTTTGGAGATTTATTTTATTTGTCTGCCATTAATAATTGCTAATAAGTAATTATATTTCATAAAAAGAATTTAATATTTTTAGTGTGTTAATTAAATTTACAATTTATATACTTATTTCCAATGATATTATCATTTAATTAAAGGTAGATAAAAAACAAAAATACAAACATTTATATTGATAAAACAATTTATTATAAATTAATTAATAATTTTTTTTTCAAAAAAAACCCTGATTATAATACAGTATATAATTACTTAAAATATAGTATAATTACTTGAAATTGATTATTACTGGGTAATTGATATTTCAGATAACACTTATAAAGTTCATATAAAAATCATAAATGTCAAACAAAAAAAAAGTGCCTGATATATTAGACAACCGTAATAACTCATAAAAAAGCCAATAATTTTAACTTTCAATCGCCATGGTTACTAAACCCACTACCTAGTTTGCCATGGGCAAATGCGCCCGGTCGGTTACGGTAAGTTTAATAATGTTTAGTCATTAATAATAATTAAAAACAAAGAAAAAATGTTTTTTAAACATTATTAGTTATATTAATTTACTATATTTTCTAATAACATATTCAGTATAATTAATATATGAATAAATATAATTTTATATAATCTATAATCAAAAAAAAAAATTCCTTATAGAAAATGGTCGACTTGTTGGCCAATAAAACATAGGGTTCGGCAAACTTAGCTACCCGTCCAWCGATTAACACTASCACCCGATCCGAGTCTCTCACACTGTTTCTCTCACTGTCTCTCTCTCTCTCTCTCTCTCTCTCTCTYTCTCTCTCTTKTCTCTCTCTTTCTCTCTCTTTCTCTCTCTCTCTCTCTCTCTCTCTCTCTTCTCTCTCTCTTTCTCTCTCTCTTCTCTCTCTCTTTCTCTCTCTTTCTCTCTCTTTCTCTCTCTCTCTCTCTCTCTCTCTCTCTCTCTCTCTCTCTCTCTCTCTCTCTCTCTCTCTCTCTCTCTCTCTCTCTCTCTCTCTCTCTCTCTCTCTTTCTCTCCTTCTCTTTCTCTCCTTCTCTTTCTCTCCTTCTCTCTCTCCTCTCTCTCTCCTTCTCTCTCTCTTTCTCTCTCTCTCTTCTCTCTCTCTCTCTTTCTCTCTCTTTCTCTCCTTCTCTTTCTCTCCTTCTCTCTCTCCTCTCTCTCTCTCCTTCTCTCTCTCTTCTCTCTCTCTTTCTCTCTCTCTCTCTCTCTCTTTCTCTCTCTTTCTCTCCTTCTCTTTCTCTCTCTCTCTCTCTCTCCTCTCTCTCTCTCTCTCTCTCTCTCTCTCTCTGTCTCTCTCTCTCACTCTCTCTCTCTCTCTCTCTCTCTTTCTCTCCTTCTCTTCTCTCTCTCTCTCTCTCTCTCTCTCTCTCTCTCTCTCTCTCTCTCTCTCTCTCTCTCTCCTCTCTCTCTCTTTCTCTCTCTCTCTCTCTCTCTCTCTCTCTCTCTCTCTCTCTCTCTCTCTCTCTCTCTCTCTCTCTCTCTCTCTCTCTCTCTCTTCTTTTTCTCTCTCTCTCTCTCTCTYTCTCTCTSTCTCTCTCTCTCTCTCTCTCTCTCTCTCTCTATGTCTCTCATATTTCTTTACATTTATTGCTGACTAATAATATTTATTTTGCACTTAATATTATCAAAAAAAACAATTTACATTCTTTAAACATTAGTTATTATAAATACAAACTCATTATTAAGTTATAAATTTTTTCAGAATAACTTTAAATATTAATTCAAAAAATAAAAATAGTTAACATTAAAAAAATTTTTATACTAACACTTATATTGTTTTGAGAATCAGTTAAAGTATAAACAATAAAATATTTAATTTTTAGACATTTTTTTTAGTTAGTTATTATCAATATTTTCAATTAAGAATAATAGTTATAATACTATAAAGTTTTTTACTAATTGATTAGTTTTTATATATAAATAAATATTTATTTAAAATATAAAAAATTAATTTGAATATTTGATTTTTAAAAAAATGTTTTATTTTTGGTCATTAATTTTGCCATTTTTAACAGCAGTAATCATTTATCTATATTTGTAAGTATTTGTATTAATTTTTTTTATTATTTTAAATAAAAATATTAACTCTTAAACTTTTTTTTTAAACATTTATATTGATATTATAATTATCAAAATTATACATAACTACAATAATTATTATATATTTAACAACATATACATACATATATACTATATAATATATATATATCTATAATTTAGGTCATGGAAGCGTACGTACAGCTACTGGAGCTCTCGTGGCATACCTGGCCCGACACCCCTGCCTATTGTCGGCAATCTGATGGCAACATTTATTAAGCCCTATGTCTATGAAAGTAGCAAATGGTATACAAAATATGGACCATTAATCGGGTAATTAGTTTTTTTTTGTTGACTAAACATACATATATATAAAACTATACTTTTATATCCATACAATCCATACAATAAACTTTATTATATATATTAATCTATATATATATATATATATATATATATATATATATATATATATATATATGTTTTAGTGTCTATCGTTTCGATAAACCGGAACTACTGATATCCGATCCGGAACTCATCAAACAGGTTATGGTTAAAGATTTCCAATCGTTTCGCAATCGGCGGCCAATTAAACGGCGAATCAACTCACGATTCGGTAAAATGTTGCCCAACTTGCGTGACGACGAGTGGCGCCGTATGCGAAACATACTGAACCCGGTGTTTACTACACGCAAACTGAAACTGATGGTCGGCCTACTGGACGAATGTTGTACAAGATTTATGGATAACCTGGAGAAGACAATCGCCGAAACGGGACCCAAAATCAACATCAAGATAACAATGAAAGACCTGTCGCTGGATATGATATCCAGTGCCGCATTGGGCACTCGTATCGATATCTATAGCAATCCTAACCATCAGTTCCTGCGCAACGTTCACCGTATTATAGCTTTTCCTACTTATCAGATGTGTTTGCTAACACTGTTTCCCACACTATCGGGACTGGTATTCAAAACGATCAAATGGTTTGTCAAAGAGCCGCTACCCGACCAATACTTCTATGATTTTTTGCTAAAGATTATACAAAACAGACAGTCGTCGGGTGTGAGGCGTAACGATTTATTGCAGATACTTTGCGACATCAAAACGGGTAACAATAGTAGTAGTAGTAGTAGTAGTAGTAGTAGTAGTAGTGATACGGCTACTACCGGTGCAGCCGCTGTTTCGGCTAAAGAGCCGAAAGAGTTGGACAGTATTGAAGAATCTGAACGACAACAACATCCAGGGATTTATGGCGACGAATCCTATCTGAAATCCGATACAAATAAGACATTTATAGCTCAGCTAACGGATGAAGAAATTTTTAGCCAATGTTTTGTCTTTTTCTTTGCCGATTTCGATACGTTGGCCTCGACTGTGGCCAACATGTTCTACGAGCTGGCACTACAGCCGGATATTCAGCGCCGACTTCGGGAAGAGTGCCGACAGGCTATACAAGCCGACGGGTCGATTGATTACGAAACACTGATGGCATTGCCCTATTTGGATGCCTGTCTATCGGAAACCATACGCATGTATCCGACCAGCGGTGTCATACCCAGGGAGGCCATGGAAGACGTAGTACTGGGCGACACAGGTATCACTATAACGAAAGGCATGATAGTGGACACACCGGTCTATCCTCTACATCACGATCCGAAATATTTCCCGAATCCATATCGCTATACGCCCGACCGATTTATCGGCGAAAATCGTGACCAAATCAAACCGTACGCCTATCTGCCGTTCGGTGCCGGCCCCCGGCACTGTATCGGTATGCGGTTTGCACTGTTGGAGGCCAAACTCGGTATGACTCGTATACTGCAGCGTTTCGAGTTTTATAGGGTATCCGAGACTACAGTTCCCGTCAAGTTTCGGTCGCATCCCGAGGTCCTAATGACCGAACCGGTGATTATCGGTGTCAAGAAAATTAATTAGACAACAACAAAAAAATTTCAATTATTATTTTATTTTGTTTGATTTTTTAGACTAAATGCACTAAATGTCTGTATATTTATTAATTATACATAATTTAGTTAATTATATAAAAAATATTTTTTAGTTAATTAGTAAAATTAGTAAATTTTTATTAACTAATATAATTCAAAATTATATATTTGTTTTTTAATCTGTTTCAAAATTATATGTTTTTTTTGTGTGTTTTGAAAAATAAAAATTTTAATTCAAATAAATAATATATATTATATATTAATTTAAATTTAAACAATTGCATTTGAAATAATAATAGTAGTAATAATATTAACTAATAAAAAAAAATATTTTATGAAATATTTCAAGGGTTTAATCACTCTAATTGAATATTCAATAAATTTAATTGACGTATTAAATATATAATATGATAATATTAATCAATTTTTTAGGTATTTGAAAAATTTATAAAAATCATTGTAAAACATCATTATATTAAATAAAATAAAAAACTGATGACTTTTATTACTATAAGTTATTTATTTATTTTTTTTGATAAGAATTTCAAAAATTATTGTATTTTTTTTATTTGTTAATATAATATATTAATATTTTAATTATATAAAAGTTTCATAGATTTGATATTACATTAGATTGATATGATTTTTTTATTGTTGCATTTCATATGACTTATTAATTATTGTTTTATGTAAATTATATATATATATATATAAATAATTTGTTTGTTAACATTTTTTTTTTTGATAAAAGTATTTGACTTGTAATTTAATATATTATAAAGTTTTATTAATTGCAATAAAAAAATTGTTAGATTATGCTAATTTGGACATTGATACTTAGTAGTTTATTGAAAAAAATACAATTTTATACTATAAGTATACTATAAAAAAAAAATTATAGAAATTTAATAACAATTTTTTTTATACAAAATATTATATCATTTATACTTTTTTTTATATATCTTAGTTGAAAAAATATTTTATTTTTTAAAATCAAAAACTATCAACTATTTGTTTAGCTATAGAATATATATTTTATTTATTTATTTTTTAAAATTTAACATTTAATTAAATATATATATATATACAGAAAACATGGATATAATTACATTATCCGTAGTGGTTATCATCTTAATTATAATTTATAAGTAAGTTATTATATATATATATTAATAAATATTGTAATTAACTATTTTATGATTAAATAATTTTATTATTATTTAAAAAAACTAATTTAATTTTTATAAATATTAATGCAAAAAAATAATTAATAAATTATATATATATATATATATTGTTGTTTAGATATCTAAATCGCAATTTTAACTATTGGACTAAATATGGTATACGTGGACCCAAACCGTATCCGATTGTCGGAAATATCTATCAATTGCTTCGTATACCACATAATATTCATCAACAGGTTTGGCATAAAAAATATGGCAAAATCTATGGGTTTGTTATGAATTTAATTAATTACTTTATTTAACTATATCTATCACCAAATTTTTTTTTAAAATTTAGAAAATTAATTATAGAATTTTTAATTCATTATTTTATGTTTTTAACTTTAGTCTAGACTCTAGACTCTAGAGTCTAGAGGGTCTCTAACCCTGGAGGTTATTTTTTTGACCCTGATTATTTTTCAGATACTAAAATTTTAAATTATTATTATAATACTATACTAAACTGTATTAGCTTTTTAAATTTTAGCTATTTTAGTATATAAATAGATTTTTTTTTTTAAATATTTTTAGGTATTTACTGTTTTAAATATTTAAAAAATTTATACACAAATTATTTAAATAAAAAAAATCTATTTATTTTTTTAGTATAATTATATGTAAAATATTTGTTTGACCCTGATTATTTTTCAGATACTAAAATTTTAAATTATTATTATAATACTATACTAAACTGTATTAGCTTTTTAGATTTTAGCTATTTTAGTATATAAATAGATTTTTTTTAAAAATATTTTTAGGTATTTACTGTTTTAAATATTAAAAAATTTATACACAAATTATTCAAATAAAAAAAATCTATTTTTTTAATACTTGTAATTATATGTAAAATATTTATTATTTTTTTAAAATCAAATGTTAAAATTATTATTATTTCTTAATTAATTAATTATTTTTAATAAAATATTTTTTTCATTATCTAACAGTATATATATGTCCGATGAACCTATTTTACGTATAAGTGATCCCCAACTGATTAAGACATTGTTTGTCAAAGATTTCGGCCAATTTGTTGACCGCAAACTCTACGGTCCAAACAATCCGATTATATCGAAAAGTCTGGCCGAAGCTTCCGGCGACCAATGGCGCCGTATTCGGTCAATAGTTTCGCCAACGTTTTCGTCGGCCAAAATGAAACTAATGTATCCGATTATCGGCGACTGTGTCCACGATTTTATCGGCCATTTAGATTCAATCATAACCGATACAAACGCCAATACCATTGATGCCCGCGTTATCAATGCCAAGAAAGAGTTCGGTTCGCTGGCCATGGATGTCATCGCGCGGACAGCTTTCGGTATTAAGTGCTATCCGTACGGCAATAGTGGTCCCGAGAATCCGTTTGTTAGCAATGCTCGGGTAATACTGGAGTATACTTTGGCCCGGTTTTTGATTAACGTATTTATGCCCGACTGGGCCTATAAACTGATGTTGGGATCGATTGAGACCCGAATCAAAGGATTTTTCTTTTCGTTTATACGGAATGTTTTGGCCGAAAGGCGGCAATCGATGGTCAGACACAACGATTTTGTACAGTTGCTTATGGATGCCGACAGCGGTTATGGCGATGCCATGGATTATATGGACACTAATCAGTTACAAGGTTTATATATATTAATATATCATATAATCTCAATATATATATATATAACTTATTATTTCATATTTTTTTGAGAAAAACTCAAATTAATACTAAAATTTTCTATAATATTCTATAATTTTTTTTTTCTAGTCTAGACTAGTCTAGTATTTTTTTAATAAATTTTTTAAATATATATATATACAGTATATATATTTTTAAAAATTTTAGTCAAGTATTTTTCCACTATAAATATCATAAAATAGCAAATTTAATTAGAGATGCAAAATTTTTTTATATAGAGGCGGTCAAATGATTTTGCGTTTTGAGTTTTTCATAGATCATATTATATAAAAAATGTAAATAAAAAGACGTTATTTATGACTATTATATATTTATTAGATGAATATTTCAATTATATAAATAATTCTAAAATGAAAATTTTAATATATCGACTAGTAATCGAAATAATCAATTTTCAATATAAACTTACAATACAAACTATAAACAAATTATAAACAATATAAATCATATTACAATAGTGTGATATTATAATTTATATTAAAATTCTATTATTTCGAAAACTAGTCGATATATTAAAATTTTCATTTTAGAATTATTTATATAATTGAAATATTCATCTAATAAATATATAATAGTCATAAATAACGTCTTTTTTATTTAGACTGTTTTATATAATATGATCTATGAAAAACTCAAAACGCAAAATCATTTGACCGCCTCTATATAAAACTTATTATTTCATATTTTTGAGAAATACTCAATTTAATTAAAATTAAATGTCTTGTACTTTTTATAAATTTTTTAAATATATATATATATATTAATGTTAGTCAAGTATTTTTCACTAAAATATCATAAAATAGCAAATTTAATTATAGATTCAAAATATTTTATAAGAGGCGATTCACATATCAAGTTCGCACATTTTAAGAAATCTAGACCCCATCACTCCCCTATGTTTGCAATTGTTTGCATGTAGTTATTTTTTAAAAAATTACGTTCGCATGTCCCTAAACGGTAACCCCCACCCCCCGCCCGCCACTTTAAAAAATAAAATATTTAAATCTAAAGCTCTACCCTCCCATAAAACTCGCTCACAAAAGTTCGTTTTGGCCAACCCCCCCCCCCCCCCACTCCCCTCTAGTGCGAACATAACATGTGAACTACCCCTAATGTATAAATATAATCCTAAACCTAATAATTATTAATTAAATATTAATTTTTATAGTAAATTACTTTTAGATTTTTATAGAGTTTTAATAATAATAATAATAATACTTTTATGCTAATACATAGTAAACAAATTATCAATTTTTTTTATAAAAAAAATATAATAAAATATAGGTTCCGATGAACAGGAAGCTAATCGGCGGACACTGGACTTCAAAGTGGCCAACAAAAAGCTCAGTGAGGACGAGATTGTGGCCCAGGCTATGGTGTTTATGGTGGCCGCCTATGAAACAACATCGACTGCACTGACGTTCACTATCTACGAGTTGGCACTGAATCCGCGGGCCCAACAAAAACTGTACGCTGAGGTCACTGAAGCGTTTAACACCGCCGGCACTGATAGTACGGAAAGGCCGGCCACTGGCCAACAACAACTAGACTACGAGACATGTCTGCAACTGCCCTATTTGGACGCCTGTATATCCGAGTCGTTGAGACTGCACTCACCTAATCAGGGTCTGCAACGAGTGGCCGCTACCGACTATACCATACCCGGTACCGATATTCATCTGCCGCGTGGCCAACACATCGAGATACCCGTGTCGGCCATACACCTGAACGAAGAATACTATACGCACGCCAATAGCTACATACCCGAGCGTTTTATGCCCGACAAGCGTCATCTGATTAAGCCGTATACCTATATGCCCTTTGGTGTCGGTCCCCGTAATTGTATAGCCATGCGATTTGCACTGTTAGAAGTGAAAACATGTCTGGCTTATTTGGTTGATAAATATAAATTTCTACCCGTCCCCGAAACGGATGTTCCCCTGAAATACGATAAAACCTTGACACTGGTACAGCCTAAACGTGTAATTGTTAAATTAGAAAAACGATCAAAAAATTAAATTAATTAATTGTTTTTTGATTATACTAGACTGACCAACCATTTTATTTTTTAGTAAACCTGTATAAAATATATTGAATTTTATTGTATATAAAATATTATAGTCAACTATGTTAACCTGTATTTAAATAACTATATATATACTATAAAATAAGAAAAATTAAGTTTATATATATATTATAATTATATAAAAAGTTGAAATTTAGTTTTTTTTTTATTTTATTTTAGATATGGACAATTTTTAAAAATTATTTATTTTATATAATATTTAAACTGTTTAATAAAAAATACAAGCAATTTAATTTACTAACAAAATTTAATTCATAGTTATTTTATACTTTTATTAATTAGTTTCACATATTTTTTAAAACTGTATATTACATTATACAGGTGGCACCTGTATGGGTGGTCAGTCTAGATTAAACAATGTTTTTATTTTTTTTGGGGGGGGGGGAGAAAAATATTTTTTATTATTATTATTTTATTATCCAATAATTTTTGTTGTTGTTGTTTAGTTTAAAAAAATCTCAATTTAAAAAAAAAAAAAAAATAATTTATWTATTTATATTTAAACTCAAAAAAATAAATAATAATTTTTACGCCACATATTTGATGCCCAATTTAATTGGCGAAACTGTAACGGCTTCGGGATTATTATGATAGACGGGCGGAACAGTTGTGTCGATAAGTCTATAAAACTCATACTTCCGTATCAATCGACACAATACTAGTTTTAGTTGCATTTGTGAGAACCGTTTGGCTATACACTGTCGCGGTCCGATACCGTAGGCCAGATAGGTATAGGGGTTAATATTTGATGATAGGTTTTCTGGCATAAACCTGTCCGGGTCGAACAGTTCAGGTTCCGGGTAATGGCTAGAGTTATGGTGCAATGCATGGACAGGTATGTTGACTATCTGGTTTTTTGGCATCATAATACCGGTGGTGGTGGTGCTACCGGTGCTGCCCAGTACCGTATCTTTGCTGACACTACGGGATAGGCGATAGAATACCGGGTATTTGCGATGAACTTCCAGTAGGAACGCCTCAAGATATACCAGTTTGTCTAAACTGTTGACATCGATGGTATCACTGGCATTGTCATCATCACCACAACCATCGCCACCACCACCAATGGTAGTGTTGATCTCATTGCGTAGCCGGTCCTGGATATCGGGATTCACTGCCAGCTCATACAAACCAAATCCTAGTGCAGTAAACATCGACCGGAAGTTCCAGAACGGGAACGTAAATAACTGCCAAACGTTTTCCTGTTCGGTAAGTCGGTCCTCGTCGGGAATCACGTTGTCGTCGACCACCGACTGTACCAGTGGTTCACCAAAACTGTTATGTTTACGCAAATCCATGAATAGCTGTAGAAAATCGTTACCTCGACTACCGTTACGATCCCGTTGTGTAATCTCGCGGTTCAGGTAATCCAGAAAATATTTGTCGTGTGTGTGGACACACAGTTTGATAGCTCGGGATATTTTTTCGGTTAGTTTCGGGAATAGTGTTACTATCAGATACATGGGTAGCAGACATTGGGTTAGCCGACGGGTACCTTCGGTAAACTCGGGCGATACTCGGGTACCGAACACAGTCCAGGCCATAGTGTCCAGAATCAGGACACGTAGGGACTGTTCGATATCAATCTCGTTGTCTTTATCGGTGATTCGCTTATTCCATGTTTCAATCAGTTTATCGCAACAGTCGTTGATTTTCGGGACAATTTTCAGTTCATTTTTCAGTGTAAATACCCGTTTGTAGTTGCGATGCATACGTTCCCAATCCCGTCCCGTTAGTGCCGGCAGTATGTATGAGAAACTACTTCTAACGTCTATGGCTGGCGGACGTCGGTCGGCAAATGAGCCGAATCGGGTGTCAAGTATTTGTTTGATTAGTTCCGGATCGCTGACCATCAGCTCCGGGTCGCTGTTTCGGTAGATTCTGATAAATAACAATATTATTATTATTATTAAGTTTTTTTGTTTGTTTGATGTTATGCTTAATTTGATTATATAAATAAAAAAATTATTTATTTATTTTCAAATAAGTATATTTAGTGACTATAATGTAAATATATAACTAAAATATATGTATATATAAATTATCAAAAGTTAAATCTATAGTGAGTTAGTGAGTCAAGAGAGAGACAGAGAGAGAGACAGAGAGAGACAGAGAGAGACAGAGAGAGAGACAGAGAGAGAGAGACAGAGAGAGAGAGASAGAGAGAKAGAGAGAGAGAGAGACAGAGAGAGACAGAGAGAGACAGAGAGAGACAGAGAGAGACAGAGAGAGACAGAGAGAGACAGAGAGAGACAGAGAGAGAGAGAGAGAGAGACAGAGAGAGACAGAGAGAGAGAGAGAGAGAGAGAGACAGAGAGAGACAGAGAGAGACAGAGAGAGACAGAGAGAGACAGAGAGAGAGAGAGACAGAGAGAGACAGAGAGAGACAGAGAGAGACAGAGAGAGACAGAGAGAGACAGAGAGAGACAGAGAGAGACAGAGAGAGACAGAGAGAGACAGAGAGAGACAGAGAGAGACAGAGAGAGACAGAGAGAGACAGAGAGAGACAGAGAGAGAGACAGAGAGAGACAGAGAGAGAGAGAGAGACAGAGAGAGAGAGAGAGAGAGAGAGAGACAGAGAGAGAGAGAGAGAGAGTTTTAGACAGAGAGAKAGACAGAGAGAGAGAGAGAAATATAAATGTATATTAATATTTCAATTATATACTATACCTGTATATATATTGTTATATATAAATATTAATAATAATAAAATATAATAATGTATTATATATTGTATAATATTTAATAATATAATACACACCCGAATACCGTTCCATACTTTCGGCACCAATCACTGTCCAATTTAGTCAATGGCTTCAAATATGTGGCCAAAATATTGCCAAATATAGGTATGGGCTCAGGACCATCAATGCCACGATTTTTCCAATAGGATAGCGAACCGGATAGTAAACATTTTCTACAATAAACAAACAAACAAAAAATTAATTCAAATTAATAAACATGGTCAATTTAAAAAAAATCATTAAAACTATAATAAATAGTATAAACTTATTTATAAACTAAAATATCTAAAAAATATTTATATTTACTTTAATATAAATAGAGAAACAAATGTAATTATTATATAAACAATTAAAATTAACATGTTAGTTTTTTTTAATATTGAATTTCAATTCAATTTTAAAATTTAAAAAAATGTAATAAACTTATAATAATAAAAAACTTATTTTTCAAAATTTTTAGGATAGCTTATTAAAATATATATAACATTAAAATAAACAAACAAACAAAAAATTAAATTATTTTGTATATATATCATACATATCAATGTATATTAAAATACACTTATTATCCTATAAGACAAATAAAACTTAAAATATTTAAAGTATTATTATTATTATTATTAAACATGACAATTAATTTTTTGTTGTTGTTGCTATACTAAAAAAATTAAATGTAATGTAATATAATTTTTAGGATAGCTTATTAAAATATATATATAACATTAAAATATTATTAAATATGTCAATAAAAATATCATTTTATTATTTAATGTGTTATTTATTTTTTTAAATACAGTTAGATTTAGCCATTTTAAAAAACTAGATTTATGTCAATCAATAATTTTAAAAATTAAAAATCTTAATAATTATAATTATATATAACTTATTAATCTATTAACAAAATAACAATTTCATTAAAAAAATATAAAAAAAACTTCAAAATACTAATATTAAATGTAAAAAAATAATAATTTTTTTTTTGAAGGAATTAGATAATTAAAATTCTTAACAAAAAAAATATGTATTTTTTATAAAACTATTTTTTTAGTCATTATATATTATGATTAGGCAAAAAAATTTTTTTTTTTATTATACACTATTGTATTTATTGAATTTTAGCATTTTATTTTGATTATTATTTAAAAATTAACAACTAATACATGTATTTAATTTAGAATTTAGAAATATTTTTAAAGTATTGATTTAATAAAAACTTTTTTAATAAGACTATCCAAAAAAAAAAAATAAAAATAAAATAACAAAAATGTTTATATATTTATTTTTCGTAACTATATTACTATCAATTGTTAGTTGGATTTATTGGTATTTATATTTTAATTTTATTTATTTTTTTGTATTATATTTAAAAAAAGACTAATAAAAAATATTTTAATTAATTAATTTTGTTGTCGGTATGTATGTATGTATAGGTCATGGCTCAAAACCTACAGCTACTGGTGCTCACTTGGCGTAACCGGACCGACACCGTTACCATTCTATGGCAATCTATTGAACTATTTTCCCAAACCATTACATATTAAGACACTGGAGTGGTCAGAAAAATATGGACCAATTTTCGGGTACATAACTAAACTTAATTAACTAGTTTTAACATAATAACTATAATAATAATAATAATAATTTTCAATAGAGTTTACCGATACGATCGGCCGGAACTGATGCTAAGCGATGCCGAACTGGTCAAAGAGGTAATGATAGCCAAGTTTAACGCCTTCCGCAATAGACGGCCACTCGGCGGCCAATACAAGAAAGTGCTGACCGAAGGTCTGCTTAATCTACGGGACGACGAGTGGCGCCAAATGCGAGCCATACTGTCGCCGGCATTCACTACAAACCGTTTGCGTCAATGGCTACCAGTGCTCAACCAGTGTTGCGACGATTTTCTGGATCGATCGCTGAAGCCGATGGCCGACCAGTCTATGGACGTACCGTTGAACGATGTGGCCAGAGATGTGGCACTGGATATGATTATGCGTACGGCGTTCAGTAAGCGTGTGGACGGTCTGTACGATACGCCGAAAGCCCGGTTCGCCACAACAGCCTATCGGGTACCGCAGGTCAACATTGTCCGGCAGYTGCTTACGGCAGTGGCGCCCAGTTTGGCGCCCAAATTGTTTGTCGTTAAACAATATTTGCTGGTAATAGACATACTAGTATACTGTATATAATTGATTCAATACAAAAAAAAATTAAATTGTTTTATAATCTAATTTTTTTTTAAGGCACTGGTAGGCAAAGTACCCGACTTTTATTTTGCACACGTATTTACCGAAATCATACAGGAGCGTATGGCCAGCCAGAAACAGTGTACCGATTTGCTACAAGTGCTGATTGATTGGCGAGAAAATACAAACACCGATAATAAACTTAGCGACGATAGTATGTCATCATCGGCGACGACGTCCAGGGTTTCGGCGCCAACCGGTGTTGTTGGCCGTCGGCTAACCTTCGAGGAGATCTATAGCCAGTGTTTTGTCTTTTTTTTCGGCAATATTGTCTCCCAGACATCAAACATTGCGTTCATACTGTACGAGTTGGCCGTAAATACCAAAGTACAGGATAGGCTCAGACGGGAAACACGCAAATTGATTGCTAATAATCATAAGGACGTGGACTACGAAGCACTGGTCAAACACCGATATCTGGACGCCTGTATAGCCGAAGCATTGCGCAAATACTGTGTRTCGGCCATATCGCGTGTGGCCACCGAAGACACCCAATTAGGCGATCGGGCCATCGAAAAGGGTACCGTAATTGATATACAACTCTACGCTATGCATCACAACGAACACTATTTCCCGGATCCCGACCGTTACAATCCCGACCGGTTTCTCGTCGATGATCTGGTCAAACCCTATACATACCTGGCCTTTGGTGCCGGTCCGCGCAATTGTATTGCCCAACGGGTGGCACTGTTGCAGATCAAAGTACTGATCGTACGAGTGGTACAAACCTATCGATTGGTTCGGGTTTCCAGGACTACGGTTCCCGTTGTTATGAAGTCTAATCTCGAAGAACTTCATACGGAAGAGTTGTTTATAGGTTTAGAAAAAATATAAATAACTTTTTTTTTATTTTAATTATTATTATTTAATTTCATTGCATAATAAAGTTATGTTTATTTTTAAAAAAAAAAATAAGTTTATCAATTGAATTAAATAATTATTTTATCTATTGATAATTTATTAGTTATTTAGCTAGGTTAAATATTAATGCAATGTAAATATAAATTGTTTTATTTGTAAAAAAAAAATTTAAAAAAAATTAAATATCTGTTTAATGTAATCTTTTTTTTTTTTGAATTTATTAACTAAAAAAAAATTTGAAGTTTATTTTACACATTATAGTATTTTATAAATAACTGTTTTTAAGTATCTGAATTCTATATGTCCTACCGTCCGTCAGTCCGTCATTTGATTGAATTTTGTTGAAAGTTTGACTTTTCATATTTGAATTTAGCATCAAAAATAAGGTATAGGGGATTAGCATTAAAATTTTGATATCTTTTCGGGAACATAGAGAAAATGGCGGCCAAAGTACAAAAAATTGAAAATAATATTTATAGTATAAATTTGAATAAAACATCAAAAATAAGATATAGGGGATTAATATAAAAAATATCTTTAAGAACATATATAAAATGGCGGGCAAAGTAAAAAAAATTTTAATTTAATGTTTAATTGTTAGATTTGAATTAAGCATCGAAAATAAGTTAGCATAGAATTGAATTAGCATACAAATTTTTATATCTTAAAGAAGATAGAAAAAATGAAGGTTGAATTAATACTTTTTAAATTCAAGTTAAATTTAGAGTAAATATAATAATTTATTTGAATTATTTTATACCCTGCTTGACTAAAGTTAAGTTTAATTTGTCATACTAAATCATTTGATATCCCATATTACTAAAGTTGAGCTTATTTTGTCATACTGTATCATTTGTTACCCAACATGACTAAATTTGAGTTTATTTTGTCATACTGTATCATTTGATACCTCACATGACTACTAATTTTTATAAGTTACGATATAACTGTTATTACTACAAACTAATGGTTATCAAAATATTTATGATATTCAAGTTTATTTTATGGAAATGATTTCGAGCATTTTCAACTGGTTAACTCTGATTAGGAGTTCGTATGGAAATGCTTTCTAGCATTCTCAACTGGTTATATATAAATATATATTTAAAATTACGTTATTTATTTTTCAATAAATTTTTTGTAAAAAATAAATAATTAAAACTTAGTTATAAACAATTTGGTAAAAATTTTTAATTTTTTCTTATAATTATAAATATACATATAGTATCCTAATTATAGTTTTTATTAAAAAAATACAGTACATTAAAAATTATTTTTTTTTTAAATTTATTAATACTAAAAATATATATAGTTTTAACTATAGTATAGTTACATACATATACACACAGTTTGTACATAAAATTATTAAAAATATTATTAAAAAAATTTTTAAATAATTAAAAAAACATTATATGAGAGAAAATTATTTATTAAATTTTTTTTTATTTTAAAAAAATAATTATAAATTAAATTTATTTTTTCAAGTTTGCCTGATATGACAGTACAAAATAGGCCAGAATTCTGGCCACTATTGTATAGACAATCATAACTATTAGATCAATATAAAAGTCATCTTCGGTGACACCGAAACCTTGTAAGACAAGCGACGGATTACTTTTGTAATAACTGTCCGACAAGTGTTCAAACTTTGCGGTAATGTTGTCCATAACACCCGAATCGTGTATACAACCCATAACCGAGACTATATCGTTGCCGAAAGTTTGTTTCAGATCTGTTAATGTAATTTCTTTCACTGGTTCGCACCTATCGAAACCATATATGGTTAGTATCAGGGTTTCGAAACCCAGTCTAAAATAGGACAGGTATGTAAACGGACGTATAATTTCCGGTAGACTATTAATCCTGACCAACAGGCCGGTAAACAGGACTAACGGTATCTGAAATATGGCTCCGGTTATGGCCGCAGCGTTTACATTGTTGACAAACGATGCGCCGACAATGAAGCCGATACTGTCGGCCAGCAATGCAATTATCAATACTATAGCCACAAAATACAGGTATCGCCAGAGCACCAGTAGCTGAGCAGTTATCAGATAGGATAGGATACCGAATATCAGTGGGAAAACAATATTGGGCAACAAATTGACAATCATTTTGGCCACAAAATACGACCCGACACTATACCAGCCGTTGAAATATTCTTTAACAAATACGCCCACTTCCAGGGGTAGGGTCAATATGGTTGGCATTATGGTACTGAACGATACAAATACCAGTGCAAAAAATAGGAAACCAAAGTTAAGCATCGATGATTTTTTCGGATCAGCTAACAATAGTTGATCAAAATTCTGGACCATTTCCAGTATTTGGGATGTATTTTGTTTGGAACAGCCGTCGGACGTACCGATACTGGCATTATAGTACAGTAACGATATCAAGGCCAGTATGGCTACACTCGAGATAGTCCTGAGCCAGTAGTCGGTCGGATCTCTGAACGATATCAGTAGCGATCGCTTGAATAGTATCCATGTTTTCGACAGTTCCCGACTTTTTTTCTGTTTCCTGGATTTTCGGCCAATTTTCGTAATCTTGACACTCGTATCGATCAGATAGTCGTTGAGTTTTTGTTTTTTCTGTTCGTCGGCCAGTTTGTTGATAATATCGACGCCGTGATCACCGCTGGCTATTTCGGTTATATAATCGGCCGGATTGTGATATTGGGGACACTGTAGATCGAAACTATTGAGATAATCCAGTAGTTTACTGGACGGCCCGTTGTATATACATTTGCCTTCCAGTGATAGTATGTATAAGTGATCGAAACACGAGAGGATACGGGCGGTCGGCTGATGTATGGACGCAGCGATGGCTATCGGTTCTTCATTGCGCGACAATTTGCGTAATAGGGTTACACATTGTAGACATGAGACCGAATCCAGACCACTGGTCGGCTCGTCTAACATGAGTATCGACGGCGAAGATATCAGTTCAAGTGCTATTGACAATCGTTTTTGTTGTCCGCCACTAAAAAAATCGGTAAAAATTCGGTTTTTTAGTTTATATAACAAATTAGATCTAAAAATGTCATCAAAAAAACCATACCTGCATTGGCCGACCCTAACGTTTGAGCAGTTTTCAAGACCCAGATTATAGATCAAAGTACGGACCAAATTATGATGATATGTACTGTCGGGTAGTCTTATTAGTAGATCTTCATCGGGAAATGTCGTAGCATTATATACGTTGTCGTTGTCGTCGATGAGACGAACTTTTACTAAACTATTCATCTGATAGTTCTTCAGTTTTGATGCAAACAATAGGGTTTCTTCGACAGTCAAATGTGGTACCAGTGCTTCGTTCTGTGAATTGTAGGCTAGTTTGACATTTTTGGTCGAACCGTTGACAATGATATCGCCGGTTACGCCGATACGCCGCCGACCGGCCAGACATTCGATGAACGTTGTCTTACCGGCACCGCTCGGACCGATGATAGCCGTCAGTTGACCCGAACAGATACGGCCGCTTAAGTCGCGTAATAATTTTGTCTGAGTTTTTTCCCAGAATTTTAATCTATGGGAATAACTGGCGATAGTATAGGACAGTTGACTCCATATCAGTTCAAAACCTTTATTAGGCTTTCCGTTTGCGGACACTTTTATCGATCGGGTGATCACTTTAACTTCGGTTAGTAGACTACCGTTTGTTTCATTTGATTTCAATAGTTTAGTGGACTGTTGTTGTTGATGGCTGTCCAACACAGACATGTTAGACATAGTTGTCTTTTTAACCAAACAAACAAAAAAATAAGTTTAAAATAAGTTTAAAAATAATGTCCAATAATGTTAATACACTTTACAAAAATTATTATATAATAATTTTTAAGTTTCAACAAACAAACAAACGAGAAAAATGTTATCAAATTATTTAAATAAATTAAATAATAATTAAAAAAATCATTAAAATGGATGAATGAGATAAACTTGAAAATTAAAAAAATTATTTCTTAAGGATAAAACTTTTCAAATAATACTCTAATTTAACATTATATTGATATTAACTGTAGTATTGAAATATACATATAGTATAGTATACTGTAATAAAATAAATTACAAATTATCCTAAAAAAAAAAAATGTTTTATGTGTTTCAATAGTCGATGGGATAGTAAAGTCGATGGGATTATGTTATTAAATAAAAATTATTATAATTATTATTATTATTATTATTGAAATATGATGTCTAAACTTGACATCAATTTTTAGTAGTAGTCATATGTATTTTAAAACAGTTAGTTAGTGAATCACAAACAACTTGATTGCATTAATAATAATAATTAATTTAAATTAAATTAAAATTAAAAACTCCTGTTTTGACATCACTTTTTGATCGGGTTTTCAGTAATATTATTATTATTATTATTATAGATACGACTCCTTCGGTTCGGATCTCCGGAATGTCTTTGCCATTCATCCACAGAGTTTTCCTTCACTTTCTGTTTCTTTTTATTTCTCTCTTTCTTTTGATTTTTTTTTTAAATTTTTGCTTTCAATTTAAGTGTATGTAATAATGCAAGAGTGGTAAGAGAGTGGCGATCATTGGATTAGCATAACTTGTTTGACACAAACCTGATGGTCGACCTTCACATCCAAAAGCAACCACTTGTCGATCGTATCGATTAATGACTTTTCTCTCTCTCTTCTCTCTCTCTCTCTCTCTTTCTCTCTCTCTCTCTCTCTCTCTCTCTCTCTCTCTCTCTCTATCTATCTMTCTCTCWCTCACTCACTCACTCACTCACTCACTCACTCACTCACTCACTCACTCTCTCACTCACTCTCTCTCTCACTCACTCACTCACTCACTCACTCACTCACTCACTCACTCACTCACTCACTCACTCTCTCTCTCTTTCTCTTTCTCTTTCTCTTTCTCTTTCTCTTTCTCTCTCTCTMTCTCTCTCTCTCTCTCTCTCTCTCTCTCTCTCTCTCTCTCTCTCTCTCTCTMTCTCTCTCTCTCTCTCTCTCTCTCTCTCTCTCTCTCTCTCTCTCTCTCTCTCTCTCTCTAATCAAATACCTAACTACAGTGTGTGTGTGTGTATATATATGTCCACTTATTTATTTTAAATATATCTTTTATATTTACAGTAAATACTGTATATATTACTGTATATATATATTCAGTGAGTATTTTAAGTGATGCTTTCAAAACAAGTCTGCAATCATTTCAAAAAATCAAATAAATCATTAGTAATATTCCCTTGAAATTATCAATTTGTTTATAAATATTTCAATTAATTTTTAAAAATTTCTAATTTATATAAATAATATATCAATATAGTCTATATATATATATATATATATATATATATATATATATATATATATATATATATATACTGGTATATACTTGTATATATTGTTTGTATATAATATACTGTATATATATATGTATATACTATATAAATATATTTAGCTATATATATAAATTTATAATTGAATTTGTACTGAATTTTACAATACAGTACTTATAAATACAATATAGTTTTTATGTACTTATATATATAAAAATTTTAATATTAATTTAAATAATAAATTAAAACTATTATACAGTATATTACAGTAATAAGTAATGTAAAAAATTCACGACAAATTCAATTCAATTTGTTTTTAAGTATTCAAATATTTATTTATTTATTTTTTTTGCATCGCGTTGTTAAAGTTAATTTATAATTTTAGTTTTAGATAAAACTAATAATAATAATAATATATAATAATTATAAAAAAATATTAAAAAAATACAAATAATAATAATGAAAGTCCGGTTTTACTATAATTACTGTCACAATTGAGTCACTGTCTTGTCTTTTAATATGTCTTTTAAAAATAAAACTTTTTTTTTAAAAACTAATAATAATAATAATAATAATAACTCCAAGGTTGGCCATCCTATCAATAATCAATCATTAAAAATTTACAGCACTGTTATTATTAAATTACAATTATTATTATTATTTAAAAATTTCTATTTTTAAGTACATATATAGAGTACATAATTTCAAGTTTTCAATTTAATACAGTAATCAATACTAAAACAGTTTTTAAAAAATAATATATTAGTTTTCACTATTAAAAAAACATTTAACAATAAAATTTATTGTATAATTTCATAATAATAATAATAATAATGATTAGGTGTTTAATATTTTATATAATGAACTGTATATAACAATTACATTATATTATACAATGAAAATAAAAATCCTATTTTATTTTAAAATAAAAATATTGATATATAGTTTTGTTACGTAATATAAATACTATATTATTATTTATTATTTTATATAATACTACAATATAATAAATATATTTTTAATAGTATCAAAAATATTTAAATACATAAAAAAAATTGTTATTATCTATATATATATATATATTAAATGCAATCAATAAAATATAATACAATAATATATAAAAATGTATTAACATATTAAAACATTAGTTTCAATTTATACCATTTTTGAAAAAAATAATAATTGAAGATAACATATATGATAATTAATTATATAATTACCGTAAATCGCCGGAACAGAGAACATGTCCTAAAATCGATTTTGGACAATTACTCAGTATCTATGGTCCTATGTAACGAGAAAATAGGACCTCCCGGTCCTATGTACTCGAAAATAGGACCCCCGGTCCTATTAAATGAATAAAACATATATATTTAAAACATTTATTAAAAATTAAGACAAAATTTAGGATAATTAATTAAATAATTAAAAAAACTGAAATATTATATAAAATTAATAAAACCGGTTATTAATACAATGGAAAAGTTATATAAGAAAGTTTTGAATTTATATTTGACTCGTTTTTGCCAATAAAATCCATCACATTTTGATGACCTGCTGTTTGAAGTAAATCTTTAAAAAATTGTTGTTTGACACCACTTCTGATCATATCTTTGACAGATTTAAACGCTGTTTTGTTTGCCAACCGATTGTCGGAAAAATTAATTAGACATAAGTCTATGCAATGGATGGCTAATAATATGTTGAGTTTTACTTTATCGGTACTCTCGGTAAACTCAAAATAAATACCATGATGAAAATAATAGGGAAATTTTGTTGGCATTGATTCGGGAAAATTGAACACCAATTTCGTGAATAAATTGGGAACAACCGGTTGAACGCTTGATTTACCAATTAATACCCGATTTCGATGTCCAACATATGCGCACAGTTTGTTAAATGTAATTCTGTTTCGGCTTTCAGTCTTTCCTTTATAAACATTTAATTTGATACCATTTGGTAGTAAATACTCCCTTAAAGAGAGACAATCACCAAAAAAAAGTTTTTTTACTCTAGAAGTGTATCCAAACAAATCAGTGGCAACTTTGACGATATCTTCATCTTTGATGTGAGCAAACAGCGGATTCAATGTAGAGCTGAGTAAACCTAGAGTTACTTTATATGTGGTAACAGATGAACCCATTGGTGCCATAGAATCGGTGTTGTGTTTCATCTGTGCTTTCAAGAGATCTAACTCTACTTCAACAATATGTAGTTTTTCTGCTGCGATTGCGTAACAGTTATGATTGTCGGGATTGCCAACCGGTTCTTTACATTGAATACACAAAAACAATGGACATGTAGTCAAATGTGTCAATCGATTGATAAGCGAAAATGTTTGGCCACATCCATAGTCACAGAAAACTTCAAGAGTTTCTATCAACTGTTCCAACGATAGATTAGGTATTCCTATCTCTTGTTCGAGCATTTCTTCAGCTGTTAGGAACCACTCAGTTACTACCGGTTGTCGACAAGTAGGACAAGTTTTTCAATGGCAAGTCTGGAACCACTGTTTGTGACATTCATAACATCCTATGTGTCCACACTTAAGAATACATGGATGAGTTGCAACTTCAAGACATATAGGACATCGAGCTATTGATGCTTGAAATTGGTTCACAAAGTTTATAGTTAACCGAGAAAAAACTTTCGGGACATTCATTGTCCCAATTATCTGATCCAACAACCGGTTACTAATACTTATACTAAACAAACAATGCATTCAACAGTTAGTACAGTATTATCAATGTATTATACAGTACAGTACAATAATTAAAATTGCATCAAGTTTAATTTAATTTTTAAAAAGCTTATAACTACATTATTAACTAAAGGTCATATAATAATACTGTATATTATGTGAGTTAAGCCTTTTATAAATGTTTTTAATTTGAATGTAAACTAACTATACATAAATAACAGTATATTTAGCTTAAATTCAAATAAAAAACATTTATAAAAGGCTTAACTAACATAATATATAGTATTATAAAATGGCTTTTAGTTAATAATGGAGTTATATGATTTTAAAAATGTATTTTATAAAAAAATATATGTAAGTTTTATAAAACTTTTAATTCAAATTAATTTATTAAAATGTATTTTTAAACTGGTAAATTTAATAATAATTAAATTTATAATTTTATAATTATAAATATATTAACCGTATATCCAATATCATACCAGTTACAGTATTATAACATTTATACCCTAATAATTTTTTTAAATCTAGGTTTAAAACTAGATAAAAAATTAATTATTCACATACACATTGTATATTACCTATAATATATAACCGGATCAATTTTGAACACCAATTCAATCAAAATAACAGTTTTTTAAAAATAAATATTACCGGTAAACAAGTTTATTGAAAAATATATTTTTTATAATCCCGGTACTTCCGAATTTTAATTAGATGTAATCAAATAGTTTCTCATTGTCCTCATCAAGACTACCAACCG